AGGGAGACTCCTCAGCCTAACACGTCTGCTAAGGAAAATATAAATCCAGCTGACTTTACATAATAATGAACTCTCTTCCTCTTTCACAGCCTTACAACTGTTCAGTGATTTGTGGTAGCTGAATCTTTCAGACATTGCTCATATACTGTGTATCCAAAAAGGAAATTAGGTTGTAAAATAGTGCACTGAATCTAGTCAGCTCTGTTCATAGAAGGTTCACCATGTAAAGCACAAAGATGAGAGAAATAATAGCTCTTTAAGTTGGAAAGAGACTGAGGGAGTAAAAACCTTGAGTTAGAAAATACAGATTTGAAGTCAAAAGGCCTGCATGCATTCCTGGACCAGTTCCACTGGTGATTTATCAATCTGAGGGAAGTGGTTTAACCCTGATTGCTCTTCTGCCACGAAAGCATGTTCATGTGTGTGGTGGATTGATAGCTGGTGGTCCACTTGCAACACCAGCTGAACTGAATCAGCATGCCGTGAGTGTGGAGGGCCCACCTGAGGGCTGCTTCCAAAACATAAAAAGCAGACCTGGAGAGGAGTAAGTAAGGGTGTTGTTGGTTCTCCTGTTGCGGCTGGTTCTCCTGGAGGAGCTTGTCGAGCTTCTTTCCAGACAGGAACATGTTTGTTCTCATCGTCAGAGGTGCTGGGACCTTGTTGTTGCTGAGAATGACTGCGGTTCACTTTGGGGGAGCTCTGGTCCTTACTTTACAGCTTCCCAGCACCAGAGGGGAAATGTGTGCTGTTCATTCTCTAGAAGGTTGTGACGCTGGCTTCCTAATATGAACTTGGTTGTTCTCACTGTTGGAGAATCTTAGACCTTGTTGTTGTTGAGAATAGCTATGGCACTTTTTGGGGGAGCCCTGGTCCTTACTGTGAGCGTTTTTTCCTGGATTCAGTGCAGAACCCTCAGCCTACTAGCACAAATCCTTAATCATGCTGGCACAGACTTTCTAACGTCTACTGCTGACCTTTGGGCCTTCTCAGTACAGATCCATGAAACACACTTGCACGCGACACTGTCATGGGCTCCAGGCCTCCACGTGGACTGATGCAGGACATTACTGTGGGATCCAGGCCCTCAGATGGATTCTTTGGGGTCTTTAGAGTGTGTGGATAGATTTCCTGCACTTTCTGTGTTTGACTCTTTGGGTGACTATTATATCATAATTCTGTAAATTACGTAACCTGTACTATATCATTTTCCTTTCAAACCTTGAGTACAACAATATATATTTTTGAATGTTTTTGTTGCTATTTAATCCCCTAGGCTGTTTGTGCTTCCAAGATAAGACCCTGTTGGTATCTCTCTATACTGAGATAATCTGTGTGACTCCCAAAGGTGGGACTGTCCTTAATCAATGACAGAGGCTTATGAGGAAATATTGAGAGTAGAAAGTCTCAACAGTCCAGTTGACACTGGAAGTCTGTCTGGGAGCTTCCCACACCCTCCCCACTCCCCACAGTGTCTGGCACATCCTTTGAGAACCACTAGTCCAGAAAAATCTTGCCAACTCAAAAGGCAGGTCCAGGGCCAAACAACATAACACAGGAAAAGTGGAGAATAGCTAAGGAAGAAAAGTGAAGACTCGGCAAGGCAATCAATCATCTTCATCGTCTCCCTGCACAGACACTACCAGGAACACCAGCATTTGTTCTTAGAGATTAAGAACGACCCCATATGTTGATGCCACTTTGCGACTTACAGAATTTGTGTTTTCAGGTACATTCTCATAGAAATGTTAAGGTTGGCTAATACCATCTTTCCCATTTATAGACAAAAAACAACCCCAAAACTGAGGCCAAGGTATATTAAGTAATCTTGCCTTAATCTCACACCTAGTAACTTTTGCCAGAAATGAAAGTTACGTGATCGGAGTCTAAAGCTAGTTCAGCTTCCACCTTAAGGGAGAAATCTAGCGTTTTAAAAAGTACATAGGCTTGTTTTTTTTTTCCTTTTAAGCAAGTAAGGCCAATAAGTGATTCAAATTTTAAAATAAAATTATAGTTTCCCACTTGCAAGAGACAATAATTGATGGTACTGGCAAATAAGGAAGTCTGGAAGAGAGTTTTAAATGTCTCTGTATTAAATGTTTAAGAAGAAAAGCAAGCACATCTATTCATCCTGTTAAACAGAACACGAAGAATAATTTCTAGTATGGGTGGCACTGTGCAAGTCATCAAGCCTCAGAGTAATGCACTCAGCCTTCAGCTGGTGACCTGGAGGTCCGCCTGGTCTCTAGCAGTCTCGCCCAGATCTTTCCTGGTGTTGTTAGCAATTTTTAGTAACTGCTGACTTGGCTCATTTCAGCTCCTCTGTACCTCTCCTCGGCCCAGAGATCTCACTATTGTAATCTAAGAAGGTGCTTAAGGACATCACAGGAAATCAGTCAACAAACTTAGCAATACTCAAACATATGTACACATGTAGGCTGTATTATACACACATGTGCACACCTACTAAGGGTTCCAAACAATGTCTCCTTGATGCTTAAATTAATTTCCTTCATTATAACCCACCACTAGGAAGGAAGCTGGTGTAGGTCTGGAGTTGTAACATTTAGTTTTAGGTCCAAGTTTAGCCTTATGATTGAGAGTACATTGCTTTATTAGGTTTGATCCTAAATTTCTTCATCTTGAAGAAGAGGATAAAAAAATGACAGACTCCATTATTGTGTGAAATATGTGCTTCAAATTATACAAAGTATTATAAAATGTCTCACACTGTTAATTACCAAAGCACTGATACAAACAGCCTTATTTCTCCCATATTTTCTCAGAATATAATAGTAAATAAATACAAACTACACAAATATAGAAAGAGCTCCTTACTTACATGAATTTTATATTTCCAATCTAATCTTTTTCCATGCAAATGAACGCTAACAGTCAAATCCACAAGCAAACAGGGAGCAAGCTATATTAATAAAAGTCTCACAGACCTAAGGTTTTACTGTCTGGTATTGATAAATCAGCTTTCTAATGAAGGAAAAAGCCATACTGATATTTAAGCTTTTCATTTATTTCTTAGCTGACCTGCAAAAACAATGCTTGTTTCAAGCACTTCAATGGAAATACAAACAATGCAAACTAAGCAAGAACTTCCGGAAATTTTTTCTAGAATCACAGAAGGTCAGATTCTGCACCTAAGGGCTACTCCCCTGAAGCTGACCAGAAGGTGGGGCAGTAGGGAGGCTCCTGCTACCCAATGCCCTGCTCAGTGGCATCTTTTAGATCTCACTTAATGTGCTCAGGAAAGAGTGAGCCTAGGAAGAGGAGTTCTTATCCTGGAAGGTGCTAAGTGGCATAAAGAAGGCGCCCAAGGTAAATGTCAACTATCTCTTTTCTACTGAGCCAATCATGTAATTAAGGCAAGAGGAAAGGGGAGAAAGGATTAAAAATAGAATGAATGCAATACTGTACAAATCTAGTTTTCCCTGGTAACAGAACCTGTGTTTCCCGAGGGGAAACTCCTCTTTCCCCCCGTTCTTGGTCCAGATCGTGCTGGTTGTTCAACCCCAGCCACAACCAGTCCATCCCATGGCCTGTGTGCGTCCACCACAGTGGAAATTACAGTGGAGATTCTGTCTGGGACTCTGACAGGAATTGCTAGAAATAATCAAGACCTGGTGGCTGGCCGAGCACCCTCTTACAAAAGAACCAAGTGAGAATAAAGCCAAAAAAAGGAGAGAATGGGACTGGGCTCTGATCGCTTAGATGGATGTGGTGGTACATGTCGGTAATCCCAGTACTCTGGGAGGCTGGGGCAGAAGGATCTCAAGTTTGAGCCTTGCCTGGGAAATTTAAGTGACTTAATGACTAAAGATAGCTGAGGATACAGGTCAGTGTGAAAACCCTAGATTCAATTCTGGATGCTGAAGATGGGAAAAAACCCCACACAAATCACAACTTGCCTAAAGCGAAGCCGAAAGTCAGTTTATGTCAAATTATTTGCCACCTGTAACCAAGAGGCTGGTAGAATTACTAAATCCCTACTAACCAGTCCAGTGTTTGGGGATGATCAAATGACCAGTGGCTAAAAGAATGAGTAACCATGTAGTACCAGTTAAATAACATGAGATCAATTCCAGTGGCAAAGATTTTGTGCTTAGCTACCTTGTGGTGTCTAAGGAAAGAATAAGAAAGTGAATCATTCATTTTTTTGTTTAAATCTCTGAAGCATTAATTCATCTTTCAGAAACATCCCTGAGAAATAAATCCCAGGAGGTCTTCAGTGAACCTAAGTGTCCCCTGAAGAGCAAAAGTTCTACACGATCATATATTGTTTCCAACACGGATAAGTCCACCTGGCCTAGGTCTGATGTTAATTAGTTGTTTCTAAGGGAGGGAAGGAAAAGACAAGAACAACTATTTCTACATAAGAGGAATGACCAGACAGAAGCAAAAACTAGACCAAGTGTGTACATGGTCCGGCTTGGGCAGGTGTTTCATTCAAAGCTAGTTTGGAAAGCTTCAGTAGAAGTAAAAATAGGGCATAAAAGATGGCCTGGCATCTGTAGTTATTAGGTGAAATTATTCTGCATGAAAAACACAACTTAAATCACAGATTGGATCCCAGTATTAAAGTTTGAATTACACACACACACCCCCACACACACTCACGCATACAGAAAAGACATCAGAAAAGGCATTAGAGAGGATGGCTAATAAAAACGCTGTTCTAGGTCAGGCAATTAAATTACAATGACACAGAATTATTTTTCTAAGTCTCGCTGAAAAACCTCAAGGAACAGAAACAACACAGTCTTTCTGACTGGCTGATCTCTGCTTAACAGTTCCACCTTGTGCCTATAAAACACTGCTCAGTGGAAAATCTCCAGGCGGTATTTCTGATAAGGCATGATGCTTATCCATTAGGGGTAGATTACATCAAACATATTTTTGAAGAATTTTCCCACGAGGCTAGAAGGTTAACTGCACCAGCCAATGGCACCTGAGGAGGAATGTGCAGAGGGGGCGCCCACAGGAGCATTTACCTTCCACTGCTCTTTTGAAGAAGACTTTGCAGCTGCCACAGGTCACCACCCCATAGTGACATCCTGAGGCCTCGTCCCCACACACCAGACATATTTTGGAAGGTCTTGAGGATCCAGTAGAAACACTTCGTAAAGTAGAGCTGGGGAAAGAAATTGAGATTTAAATAACCATATTGCTATGGCACATTTAATATCCTGTTCAGCTCAGCTGCAAATCAGTCAATAATCACAGACCAAAAATGAACATGGGACCTCCAGATCATGTACTTGGACTCGGTAAAATGAAGAAAAAACCTTCCCAATGGAGTAATACTATCAAGAATGGTACAGCAAGACCTCTTCTTAAGAACCGAGAAATGAAAATCACAAATTAACATTTCCTTCCCTATCCCTGTTTTTGAGATCTCCCCCAATCCAAAACCAAAAAACAAAGCGAAACAAACCCCCCACTATTTTGGAACTCTTGGAGGGAATTGGAAAAAATCTTTATTGAACCATCATGGTAGTATTTGCTGTCCTCTGGTTCTAAGTCAAAAAGTTATAACAATACTTTCCAATACCCTTCACTTGGACTTAAGACTGTGTCATTTATGCTAGATTTTTTTATGTCCCTTTCTAAAACAACCCACTAAATAAAAAAGTTAATTTCTTGGTTTGGTCTCAGTAATCCTTCCCCTGTGTGCTTCTGCATTTTTCCACTTTACCCTACAGAGGTATGTTTGATGTACTTCATTTTGCTTACTAGTTGGAAAAGACACTGACAACACTAAAACAAAAAGTCATCGCAGTAAATGTATCAGGCATCTTTCAAAGTGAGAAACTGCAGGGCTCTTGGAAATTTTATTTTGTTTTATTTTGGGGAGGTAGACTAAAGTAACTAACTGTTCAAGCACCAATCTCTCTGAATTCTTTTTAAAGGAAACCTTCCCAAGATACCTTGGTTAGTTTAGGGTGGGTTACAAACAGAAAGTTTTAAATTCTAATAGAAAATCACACTTCATGGACAGTTGAGGTGTATACCAGGTAGATAAAGAATTTGTCTTGTTCGTTCATAGACCACATACACTGACAGAATATTTACCTGTATCTGCAAAGTACCGAGGAAATTAATGTAAAAACTCCAGCCTCTGTCCCAAAGCCAGTGGAGGCACAAACACTCACTCTATGATACAGGGCAATATGATGTCACATTGCAGGTTCAGCCATCCACATTGAGAGGACCAAAGTACAGGGTCTGAAAGCTCATCTGAATGTGACGGCTGAACTGAGTTCTGAAGCATGATCAGGTGAGAGCCAGACAAGTAGAGGTGGTGGTGAGGGTGCACAGTGGCTCAGAAAAACGCAAACTGGAAACCTTCAGAAACCTTTAGTACAGCACTATGTCATTTCTGTTACCTTATGGCCAGTGTTCCTGTCTCTATGGGATGCTGTAGGCACATGAGAAAAGACTCACAGGAAAATACAGCAAAGACCAAAATCATGATGGCATGGTGTCAGATTCTGATTTCCAGGTCAGTTAAAACACAGTAAAAATCAGGTATTTACAAAATGATTTTAAATGTCTGAACTACCCTCTCACCAAAACTATCCAGCTGCTCAGAGCACTGTACTGTGACCGCCTTACTAGAAAATGACCTCTTAAATTAAGGACTGAAACAATGTTCTCCTATGTTGTCTCTCCTCCCGAGAAAAGTGCTCTTTATTATTTTTATTAGAGTTTTTTGACTTCTTTATAGCATTCAAAACATTCCATTTCAGCACCAGTGACTTCTTCAACATATTAGTCAGTAAAACTCAATTCATACCCAGGTCGATCCTTGTACACTTCAGAAAATGCTGCAAATCCGTAAATATTTAGAGTATAATGCAAAGTCATCATTAAAATCTGTCTTCTCACAATGGTAAGTATATGCAGAGTTTTTATTCAACATTTTTGTGGGCTTTGGTCTTGGTCCCAATGTTTGGTTCTCAGTGTCTTAGCTAAAAAGCTCTTTGGCTGCTTAGCTCCAGTCTCTGAACTCTGTTCATTATTCATCCAGATTTACTTTTCTGGTCATCTCATCTATTATGTTGGCTTTGAAACCATCAATATGCTAGGAACTTCATGATGTTTATCTCCACCTCAGACCCCACTCTAGAACCATACACTTTTGTGCGCATAATTGCATACCTGCCAGCCTCATCTGGGTATCCAAAATATGCTGTAAAGTCACTGTATCTATAGTGTGATGATGATCCTTTCCTGCCCCCGAACATCTTCCTCTCTCAGGTCCTGGTCTCCTCCTCTCTTTCTCTTTACTTCCTAGCCACCATATGGTAGATTAATAATGGCCCCTAAACACTGGAGTAGTGATGTGAATGACATAATACATCTAAGGATAGATTATTCCAGTGATATATGGCAACACTGTAGGGCAAGTATAGGATTTCCTCCACCATGGGCCAAAGGAACCATGAACTGAAACCTCTGCAACTTAAGCACCAATTAACCATTTCTTCCTTTAAGCTGATTATTCCAAACAGCTGATGAACACTAACTCAGCACCCAATAAAAACTTGAGCAAATGAGGGATGAGATAATTAGCATCTTTTCAAGAGTCACTACAACTCCACCCCATCAATTCTAACGTCCCACTGTAGTTCTTGTGTAAAGGAATGTGATTCATTTTTAAGCATCTGGATGGAGAGTGACAAGTGTGTAGCTGAATCAAATTGAGAAGTCAAGAAGAAAATCAACATTAAAAAGATGCATTCTGAAATCTAGATTAGGACAAGAAATTGTTAACTTTCCAAATCAAAGCAAACATTAATTCTTACCTTGTGTTCACTAAAATCTTTCAATGATAAAACAACAAACTTGCCTCTGTGTGCCTCTTGGTTTTTCTACTGTTTTACAATGTCTCCCTGATTTCTTAGGCTCTTTTTCTCATCTCCTTGATCACTAACTTCACAGTTCTACCTTTAGCCATGTTTTCTGTCATTCCTGCACTCTCTTCCTTAATGATTTCATGCAGTATCTCAATTTCTAATAGCTCTCTAGAGAATGACTTTCCAAATCTCTATAATCAGCTCCTCCACCTTTCTGCCCTTCATCTAATTTTAAGTTATCTCCTCCTATACATAACTTCCTTGATTCTTCATTCTCTTAGCTTCTTCAACATCACATGTTCAAAACTGCATTTACTTTTTTCCAGATTTCAATATTCCAGAGAGTACTGCAATCAGCTAACTATCCAGACTCACTGCTGTACAACTGTCCTTGAATTGGAATGTTTCAACACCTAATAGATGCCTGAAGTCACGCATAATACAAAACCCTCTAGATACTATGCTTTCTCCCACGTGCCCTGCAATGTTGCCATGTATCACTGGAATTAAGATATCTTCCAATGTTTCATGTCTTTTTGAATCACTACAGTAGTATGTCAGGGCAATTATTAAGTAAAATAAGCACTGAGTTACTGTGAGAGTCAATCTGCTGAGATGTCTACCCAAAAATTATGTGGGGTACTGTATACAGTGTGGATACACTGGACAAAGGAGTGAGCAAAACCCTGGAAACACAACTCTGTTCTATTTAAAACAGCATGCAACTTACGTCTTATTATTATTCTTGGAAATTTCCATTCCATACCTTCAGATCATAGCTAACTGAAACTATGGCAATCAAGAGTGCAGACAAGCAGGGATTCTTGTACTTTTCTTCTTCAATTATTCAAGCTAATCAGTTACCAAGTTCAGTTTGTTTCAGCTTTGCAAATTCAGGTAACTTCTTTGCAGCCTCCCAGGGTGATAACCTTGGTTCAAGCCCTTGTACTTCGTAAGGGTCCTCACATATCTCTGGCCTCTCCTCTCTTTAATTCATTCTACAGTGGCTGACAAACATTCCATGACGACTGCTGACTATATTACTTTTATGCTCGGAGATCTTAATTGTCTATACTGAGTACCTTCTCCTTTCATTAACCTTCCCTGCCATGTCTGGCCCATAATGTCTGGCCTTGTGTCTAGTATGTGTCAACATTTCTATGTAAGCATCTGGTCAACCACTATTTACATATAACTGAGCATTTCCTTCCCAGTTCCCAATTACAGAAAACTCATCCATCCTTAAAGGGCTCCAATGTCCTCCTGGAATGCCATTGTCCCTTCTCTTAAACTCCTTAGCATTTTGTGGTGCCGCCCTGTCACAAACCTCATTTTTGACCTTGCATTTATTGACCTGTGCACATATCCTAAACCCTTAAGGGCAAAAATCCTGATCATATGGATCTCTGCACTTCCACTGCCATTAGCGGACACTATTTATTGAATGAATGAAATCATATTTATAATCTCTTTATAGAAGAGCACAAATTAACAAAGGGCAATTTTACAGAAGGTAAGTTAATGAGGCCAAGGTTATAGGCTCAATTCCCATACAGTTCATTTAGCTTTGCACAGAGGGGAAAAAACTCAGGACACAGACTATTCTCAAAAGCTCAGCCAGCTGTCTCACAAACATATGCACTATGAAAACAAAAGACAGCCCCCAAAGTATGGATAGGTTTGGAAAACTCTAGTCTGTATGGATTGATTGTGTTCCTTCAAAACTGAAAGATGGCATGTGCTTGGGATGTGATAGATTTACACATTCAACAAACACATTTCTACACCTTGCAAGAGAGGGAAGGAGGGAGAGAGGGGAGAAGAGCAACAGATCCTGAACTCATTTATTAGACACCAAGTGTGCTGCTAAATGTAAAGCACATCTAGTGATCTGTATGTCGTAATTCATCTCTCAAGTATAATCAATTCGTTAAGTTTCTATATAGGAGATATGCCCATACTGCAGTGCCAAACATGCAGAGGTCAAAAACATGGGTTCTAGTTCATGCATTGCTGGTGAAACTTTAGCAAAATTCACTTCGTTGACATGTAATTATCACAGTAAAATAAAGAGGTTGGAATGATGCTCTCTCTACAAGACTCTTTCCAGGATAGCATTTTAAGAAACAGCTATAAAAGCTAAATGGGACAGCCCATCAGGATCCAGATTAATCCAAGTGAATTTCAGGCTCAAATTAAAGACAGTATATTATAGACAGGTGTGGTGGCCCTGCCTATAATCCTAGCACTCAGGGAGGCTGAAGCAGGAAGT